GTAGGGCAGTCATACTCAGAGATGTGCCAAAGGAGGATGTCCTATATGAAACTGTATGAAGGTTTTGTTGGTACAGCTGTGTCTGATGCGATAAGGAGACAGTGGGACAGAGAAAATCCTACCGGTAGCAGATGTGCTTAAGAATAGGATGCTGCACTGATGGCATCATCTGTCAGAGCTCTGCTGGCACCCTGTGTTTTTATGCAGGGAACAGGAAGGAGCCAGGCCAGCAAGGGACATCTCCTGCACAATGGTCTTCTCACTCTGCCCATGTAGATGTAATGAGGATTAATTTAATTAATCCTCAGCCACAAGGCTGAGTAGGATCACAAACATTTCTGGTGGTAGATGCAAAGCAGAGATTTGCAAGAAAAGCAGCACAGAGGGATGGGAGAAGCACACAGGGTAGGAAAGTATGTAAGGAGTTAACAAGAAAGGCCGTGTAGGCGGTGGGGCTGCCTCAGGGGAGAGCTGTAGGAGGGAAGGAGTGGGAGCACACAAAAAGGACAGCAAACAAAGCAGTAAAGCTGTCAAAACCAGAACAGAAGGGTGAAGTGGTGCAAGGCAAAAGACAAGCCCAGCAGTGCCAAATGCAGAACTGAGCTGGGGAGAACTGGGAAAGGAGAACAATGTGCTAGCCTGCTGGAGTAGCACTGGGTCTTGGGTGGAGAACAGACTGCAAGGAGGGGAGGAAAAGAACTGCATAGCTCTGTGCTGTGGTCACTGCTGCACTTCCTGCCCTGTGTCCTTCCTGCTGCTTCACCACGTAGTGTCTTACCTAGAGTAGAGAAGTGAAGGCATTCTCCCACACCTTGGTCCTCTGTGGTTGTCCTCAGATGATAATTCCCAAAGGTTGTGTTAGAAGCTGAAAGCTCAGATCTCACCAGTTGTTACACCACTGCTCACATCATGAATAAGTGCACACTGGGGCTTAGTGTGCACTTCTGGACACACACCTCAAGGTGCCAGTCAGCTCTGCTGCTGCAGCACACTGATCCAATGCCAGTAGGTTCCCAAAGTGATAAGTGAGGACCTCAGGGGCGTTATACTCCGTTGGGCCACAGAAGCATCAGGGCAGTTTCCTGTAGGTATCAAGCAGCTGGGCTGCATCAGGCATTGTTCCTTTTGTCAGCTTCTCCCCATGGAGGAAAGGCCCGACATGGTTTGCAGGCTGGAAGTGCTGAATGCTATCAAATTGGAAATAAACTGCTCTGCCCTAGCCAGTGACTAAATGCACAGCTCCAAACCTGTCCCTCCACACATCAGAGGAAACGCTGAGTGACAAGAAATCAGGAGGGCACACGGAAATGGGGAAAGCACAAAGCACAGAAACAGCGCAAGTACTGCTGTGTGTGAACAGGAGATGGGAAGATACAGAAGTATAAGAAGGTGAAATGTACTGGTTTGAGTTGACTGTTGGTGTCCTATTCTTTTGACTGTTGTTACTACTAATTACATACTCTGTTTCCCAACAGCATTTCTCAGGACTTGCCAGCATTGCAAAATGCTCTCCTGCATCACATAGAGCTGTGTAACAAAGTTGCAGTGTGCCAGAGAGTCAGTCCAGTAACACACAGCTGTCTATCAGCAATGGAGCTCTGTATTTAACTCCCCAGAAGCTAAATTCCAGCATCAAATACCCATAAAAAGCAACAGCTGACTCATGGAGCCACACTGATTAACTCTGGAAGAAGCTTTGTCCATCTTTGGTTACTCGGTACAGGTTTTCAGTGAGGAAGTGACCACACAATGGAGATGTGCTGCATCCAAACAAAGAAGCTGGGACTAGAATGGCAAAAGATCAGGCAACAGTGATGGGCAGACTGTGACAGAAGGTGCAGTGTGTAAAACCCCAGTGTAAGGTAAGCACTGGAACAGGCTGCCCAGGGAGGTGGTGGAGTCTCCTTCTCTGGAGATGTTCAAGACCTGCCTGGATGCCTACCTGTGCGACCTACTGTAGGGAACCTGCTTTGGCAGGGGGGTTGGACTCGATGATCCCTGGGGGTCCCTTCCAACCCCTACAATTCTGTGATTCTGTGATGGTGACAAAGACAGGAGAAAACATGGTGAAGGGGTCTGAGTGATGCAATCTGATCTCAGGTTTCACTTCCAACCTTTCATGCACATGCAGCTTGCAGCCCAGTCCCAAATGTGCAGTGCAGCAACAGATCTGTGCTGCCTGTGGCATGCCCAGGAAATTTCTGAGAGTAATGGAGTTGAAGGGTTCATAAAGCATTGCCAGCCCTGCCTTTTTTTCAATGTAGCATCCTACCCACCTTTGTCTGAATTAAGCATGATGCTCACAGATTTAGGCCTGAAAACCATCTAAGTTTTTATGATCAACTATAATGAGACAAAAAGGATTTTTTTATTTTTTTTAACATTAATAATGCTGTTATTGTTCATAACTGGAATTACTCATTTGGAATTACATACTGTAACCACCTGATGTTTGCAAGAATGCATCAGGGCCAAAGGCGGGTTCCCAGCCACTCCACACCAGCTGAGGTGATAAGGATCCTTCAGCCACTCGTGCCCTGTTCTCACATATATGCAGGTTCTGCATTTGGAAACATCCAGGCTGTGAAACAGACAGCTTTCCTTCTCTAATTTGTTTTGTTTGGGGCACATCCTGTCTTCTAAGCATGTACAGACACCTGAAGTTACTTAGCGATAACTTACCTGGCACAGGTATGCTAGCACAGCCCCTCCAGCTGCATCCATTACACAACCTACACTGCTTTCCCAGTCGGGTCCCAGCTCCACTGCAGGGAGAGCTGGTTGTGCAATACTTCTGCACCCTGATTTTCATACTGAAGAAACCAGGATGTCTGTAGATGGTATCTGCAGCATGCAGACAATTTGATCTCTGCTGCTGGAGATCTTTACTCCCTCAACATACTTAATAGAAGCTTATTTCTGTTCCTCTCGTCTCTGCCCTGCAATGTTTTCCTCATCATCCTGCCCATTTTCTGCTTAGCCCAGTCTGGCTGTAGCAGGCCAGTTTGTTTCACCCATGTTAAAATACTGCTTCTGGCTATTCAAAGCAGCCGACCTGTCCAACAATAGTTCCAGCTTTGTAACGCACCAAGAGAAATAAAGGGGAAAATCGGCAACATTATGGCTTGCAGCCTTCTGTCTTTTTGCAGGTTGTTTTCCTAGGGTGGCACAATGTACAGAAAGTGAAGCGGAAGCTTTCCGTGTCCTCTCCTTTGTCTGGAAGAGGTTGTGTACAAGAAAGAACAGGGCGTGGAGAACAACGTGTACTGTGACAGAGGAGCCAACATGCCTCAGGGTAGTGAAGAAGTACCCAGAGTGAAGGAGCAGCTCTGTGAGAGCCAGGTGTGTGCCCTCCCCCATCCATCCTGAGCACTGCCAGAGAGCAGGAGCAGAAGAGGACAGCCGCTTCCATTGCAGTATTACATCCCTGCTCCAATAAACCTCTGACTAATCCCCTTAAGTAACTTGGTGCTGGCTTTCCAATCACACAGGGCTTAAGTTACAGCTATTGCATTAACAGTGCTAAGGAAAATCTCTCAGTGGGGCGAAGTTACCGACAAGGCTTTGGAGTTGTGGTCCTGGGCACGCTGAGGTAGAGACAAAGCCGCAGAAGTTGGGAGTGAGGTCCCCCAGAGGAGACACTTATCCTAATATGCTGTTTTGGGGGCAGTAAGTTTCTACCCAGATCTGAGAGGCAGCATGCAAATCCTCATTGGGGAAAGGCTCCACATCACATAGCTGCCCAAAGGATTAAGGGGTGCATGCCTGTTGGATAGCGATAAACCTCTTAGGTCTGCCTCGGCTCTGGCTGCTGGGAAACCGTGGCAATGAAGACAAAGTTTTCTCACAGCTTGTGGTACAGAACTTAGCTGCCTCAAAGGAGTCTTGTCTGTAAATCTTTAGTAATAGCTGAAGCAACATCAGGTGTGTTTGCCTGAAGTAAGGGACTTTTATGGCTCATTTATAATTTAAAATAATATATATTGCGTAATAGAAATACAACATAAACTTCTAACGATATGTTTATAGTGTGCACTTATAAATTAAACAGCTGATGGTATGTCCTTAAGGATATAGGTGAGCGACACAAGCATGCTTATCTGGTTTGGAGACACAGCAGGTCTCGCTGCCCAGGCCACTGCTTTCCAAAGGCAAAGCCACACACTGAGAGGCAGCCCTGTCTGCTGGGATGGATCTGCCTGCGTGACAATTTGCCATTTACTGCTCAGTCTCTTGTAACTTTCACCATGTACATTTGTGTAAGATCCTCACAACAGGCTGTATTTTAAAGACAAAGCACCCTTTAGACAGTCTTCCTTTGCCACCACTTCTCAAGCGCCATCCGTGTACATAATTAACACAGATATTCCCCTTGGATATTCCCCGTATGGGCGCCGTGCAGACCTGGGAATTCTTTAGACAGAGCGGGATGAAAGAAAACCTCTTCCAGGACTGCCTCCATAGCGGAGGGCAGTTGGCGGCCCACCCACACGGCCAAGCCCTGAGCGCTGCAACACGGCCAGCGCCCTTCGTGTGGAACCAAAGGGAGAGCGGTGCTGCTTCTGTTCGGGCTCAGCAGCCGGCGGCTCCCCGGGAACAGAACGGACCCCTCTAGATCTCAGCCGCTTCCCGAGGGGCCCGCAGCCCCAGCAACAACTGAGGAAACCAAGAGAGCAGAGAGAAACCGAGAAACCGAGGGAGCCTGGAAATCTAAGAAAATAAACCCGGCCCCTCCTGGCGCCCATGAGGAGATGTCCCATTAGGAGCTGTCGCGCCGTTCCGGCTTCCAGCACCGCGGCACAAGGGTCCCCCCCATCCCCGGCCGGGGCCAGGGCCACCCCTTACCTCCGCTCCGCTCCCGCGCCGCCGCCTCCTCTGCCGCGAGTGCCCACCCGCCGGCGGGGCCCGCCCCAAGGAGGCGTCGCGGAGCAGCGCGGCGCGAGCCGTGGACGGCGGGGCCGCTCGGTTCCCGGGGCAACGCGGGCGGGCAGACGGCGGCCATGGGCAGCTGGGCCGCGGCAACATGGCGGCTCGCTGGCTGCAGCGGGCGCGGCGTCCTGCACGGCGCAGCGCGGCGGCGGGGCAGCTCGCTCCGAGGCGGTGGGGAACGGGCGGCGAGCCTGAGCGAGTTGCTGCAGAGCTCGGTGGGGGACGGGGAGCCGGGCGAGGAGGGGGAGGCGGCGGAGGCGAGGCGGGAGGGGCGGTCTCCGCGGGAGGGCACGGTGCTGCTGTTCCCCGGGCAGGGCAGCCAGTTCGTGGGGATGGGCCGCGGGCTGCTGCGCTACCCCGGCGTGCGGGATATGTACCGCCTGGCCGAGAAGGTGCTGGGCTACGACCTGCTTTCGCTCTGCCTGGAGGGGCCGCAGGCCGAGCTGGACCGCACCCGGCACTGCCAGCCCGCCGTGTTCGTCGCCTCCCTGGCCGCCGTAGAGAAGCTCAACCACCTGCAGCCTAAGGTAGGCGGCGGCCGACGGGCCCCGCATCGAGCCGCGGGGGCCGCGACGTGGCTCCCGCCGCCCGGCTCGGCTCGGCCCGGCCCGGCCCGGCCCGGCCCCGCTGACGGCCGCGCGTGTGTCCGTGCAGGTTGTGGAGAGCTGCGTGGCCGCCGCCGGGTACAGCGTGGGCGAGTTCGCGGCGCTGGTGTTCGCCGGAGCCATGGACTTTGCGGAAGGTGCGGCTCGGAGGGTGAATGTTGCTTTCTGTTCCTGCGGTTTTCTTTGATATGCGTTACGTCGCATTAAAAACACCAACCTTGGAAAGGGTTTGGAGTCAATAGGCGTCTGAACGTGAGCCAGCAATGTGCTCGGGTGGCCAAGAGGGCCAACGGCATCCTGGCCTGTACCAGAAATAGCGCTGCCAGCAGGAGCAGGGAGGTGATCGGCCTCTGTACTCACCGCTAGTGAGGCTGCACCTTGAGTACTGTGTTCAGTTTTGGCCCCTCTCTGCAAGAAAGACATTGAGGCCCTGGAGTGTGTCCAGAGAAGGGCAGTGAAACTGGTGAGGGGTCTGGAGCACAGGTCTTGTGAGGAGTGGCTGAGGGAGCTGGGATTGTTCAGTCTGGAGAAAGGAAGGCTGAGGGGAGACCTCATTGCTCTCTATAACTCAGTTACAGTGACATAGGGGTTGGCCGCTTCTCCCAATAAACTAGTTATAGGATAGTAAGTAACGACCTCAAGTTGTACCAGGGGAGGTTCAGATTGGATATTACAAAAAAATACATCTCTGCAAGAGCAGTGGTGCATTGGGTGGTAGAGTCACTGTCCTTGAAGTTGTTCAGTAAATGTGTAGATGTGTCACTGAGCGACACGGTCGGTGGGCATGGTGGGGATGGGCTGATGGTTGGACTGGATGATCTTGGTGATATTTCCAACCGTAGTGATTCTGTGATTCTCACTCCCGATGTGAGCGAGCTGCCTGTCTGCACTCACCTGTCCCCTTCTCCCCTCAGCACTCTATGCTGTGAAGGTACGTGCTGAGGCCATGCAGGCGGCGGCGGAGGCCGTCCCCAGTGGAATGCTGTCAGTCATCGGCAGACGAGAGGTCAACTACAAATACGCTTGCCTGGAAGCCCGTAGGCACTGTGAGTCGCTGGGCATTGAAAACCCCGTGTGCGAGGTCTCCAACTACCTGTTCCCAGATAGCAGAGTCATCGCAGGCCACATACAGGTACTGCTGCAGGAGATGCACCTGCTTACTTCAACTTAATGTCTTAAAACTGCTCCAAAAGTAATGCCACCTATTTTGTTTTGTTGGCCCACAATGCCAGAGGCAGATGTTGGTGGTATGGCAGTAAAGGCTAAACCTTCCCGCCGATATTGTTACGTTTTGTTGCTGTGTGACAGATGGCAGCAGAGGGGCGGTCTGACAAAATGGCATGACGTGGAAGTGCATATAAAGCAAAGTTCTGTCCTTGAATTCCTCCATGTGGAAAAAATGGCAGCCAGTGACTGTTATCAACACTTACTGAATATCTGTAGAGACCAGACAGTGGATGTGAACACATGGAGGCAGCTGGTGGTACTTTTCAACAGTAGTGACAGCAACCATAGGTCATCTCTGCTTCTACAGATTTTTATGAGCACAGCATGCAGGCTCTTGTTCATCTCTGGCAAAAATGCATAGCTAATAGTGGGGACTATGTTGTAAAATGGTGTTCTGTAGCTGAGAATTTGCTCTATCAAATTGTGTTATTGTGCTCTTTGTTGTAGAAATAATAGGAGGCATTACTTTCAGAACAGCCTATGTATTTGCTTCATGGGGTTTTTTTTTTCCCCACTGTGTGCTTGGTGGTTGGGTAGGAGAGGAGTGGCTTTATTGCCTTGAGCCTGGAGAGGCCAATCTGGTGGAGTGAGCACATGGAATTCTGTTGTGTCAGGCTGTGATTGCTCTCCCTTTCTTATAGGCTTTGGAGTTTTTGCAGAAGAACGCCCCAAAATTCAACTTCACACGTACCAAAATACTTCCGGTCAGTGGTGCCTTCCACACACAACTCATGGAACCAGCAGTAGAGCCGCTGGCTGAAGTCCTGAAGTCCATCGAAATACAAAAACCACTGATTTGTGTCTATTCCAACGTGGATGGCAAAAAGTACATGCACTCAAAGCACATCCAGAAACTGCTGTTGAAGCAGCTCGTCTCACCCGTGCTGTGGGAGCAGACTATGCATTCTGTGTACCAGAGGAAGCAGGGAATGGAATTTCCATACACTTACGAGGTGGGTCCTGGGAAACAGCTGGGAGCGGTTCTCCGAAAGTGCAATCTGAAAGCCTGGAGGCAGTACAGCCATGTGGACGTCACAGAGGAGGAGGAAGCAGCAGAGACATAAACAGCTTTTTGAGAAGAATCGACGCGACTTGTGCTTTCCACAGTGTACAAATAATGTCAGGCTCCTGAAAGGGGAAGTGTGAAACACTGATGGCTCTTTGCAGTGAGAGGAGCATCATGCGTCACCACAGGAAATGTTCTTCTCCACCGTGTGCCTTGGGTGTGGAGCGGGAGCTCAGCTCTCTCACCTGCACCTGGACTGTAGAGTTGTCAATAAATGCACCAAACAGCTTCCTCCTTGGCCTGCATCCTGCAAGCAACGTCCTTGTTGTTTTTATTCTTTTTGTTTTGTTTATTTTGAATTTGTGTGAGTGGTGAGCATGTGTGCGTTCAAATTACGGCCAGAAGTAGCACTGTCTGTGCAGGGTGTGCTGCCTGGGTTACACTGTTCTGTCCCATACAGGCCTGATGATGCGCTGCTGAGGCATGGGCTCCTTTAGGTGACTCCATCCCCATGCAGCCACTCTGGTGCAGGGGTGTTCCCCCCCATGCCTTGCCTAAGCTGCCTGCTATGAAGTTCACCTCCATCAAATCCTTTTGTTTCACTGTTGCCTCCTAGCAGTCAAATAAGACAAAATATGTGGATTTGGGTTGTTTGTTTGTTTGTTTTTGTTTGTTTGTTTGTTTTGCAGAAAGGATATGTTTTTCCTAAAGTTTAAGCTATCGGTAAACTGTAGAACTTTTCTGGTTATTTTGGATGCTTCACAGCATGTGATTACTGACAGGTAGTCCCCACATGGAAGGAAACTTTTCCATGTAGCTGCTCAGTGTCACACCAGTGCTAGGTTATCTTGGAAGGAGGAAAGTAAGGAAAGGAATGCCTTGGCAAGGCTCACAGTCGAGAGGTGCTGTACATTGTGGCTGTGAGTAGTGCAGTGCTGGCTAACCACTGGTTCACCAGCAGGGTGCAAGCTCCTTATGCAGTTCTGGGACCTGTGACAATTGCACACAGAATGCTCAGAAAGTCTTTGCTGTTTGCCTGCAAGGGATGCTTAAAGCTCTAAAGAAAATCAGAGAGCAGCCATTTGTTATTGGATTGTGTACAAAAGTGCAGGCAAAGGCTGTGTTATGGATATTCAGCTGAGCAGTATCTGTGGGTTGACCTTCCTGTCTTCTTAGTTGTGGAATTTTGTTAGTACAGCATTTAGTAGATGCATAGGAAAAGTCAAACTACGCATAACTATAAAGGAGCAGGAGGGCATCTCATGTCCTAAAACCCATCTGCAGAAGGTGGAGGATGGTGCGTGAGCTGGCAAAGGGTGCTTAGCTCTTATTGCTGTTATTGGCATTCTTTTGATGTGCTTGTGATCTACCCCTTCTTCTGGAGGCTGAAAGTTTAATGATGTAAAAAGCCAGTGCAGCTCCTGCACCTAGGAGCAAGCAGAAACAGGATGTGGAAAAAAAGTCAAATGCCGTAAACTCTGTCACATGAGGAAGTGTGCTGTTTAAAAAAGAAAATAATGAAATGCGGGTCTCCTGAGTCCTGCAGGAGACCCGCGTTATATATGCTTATTTATATAAGCAGGATGCCACGTGTGAGGCAGCCTAGCTATTCCTGCTTATTGAGCATCCCTGCTGATGCTTGGTGCAGAGTCTGTTTGCACTGTTTCCCTCGTGTCAGTGTGGTTACTTTTCTTGTTCTCCAGTGCTGTGTTTTGTTCCATCCATACAAGATGCTGTACTTCCCCTGGGATTCAGTGTTACAATACTGCGGACCCCAAGAGTGAAAAACTGCAGTCATCCCTGGCAGCAGTCAGATGGCAGTGACAGAGCAGCAGCCTCCTGTACATAACTGCTTCCCAGTGCATAGAGATTATTTATCCAGAAACACACAGCATTGTTTTGTGCTGTTGAAGTGACTCTGCCAGGAAGGATTGCATAATGGCAGTTGGTACATTTGTTACCTTGCTGAGGTGGTTTATTATACTCTCCTGACAGGAATTTTTACCCTTCACTAGATAATGACCGTAAAATATTTTCTGTTATACCTCTAATATGGAGTTAAACAGAACAGCCAATTCACTGATGACATTTTGGCTTGGCTTTTGGCTACGTGAACAATTCTGTTTGCCACCTTCTGGATCAGACCATGGTTCCAATCACGTCCTGTGTGCTTTGCTGGAAGGTACCCAGCGTGCTTACTGCTGAAAGGCAGATCAGTCTGGGGCACTGTGACAGAAAGGGGACATATTTTTGGAGAGGCTCCAGTGTGTGTGCTACTGTTTGAATGCTTAGAGCTATACTGGGCCCATCGCCCTTGAAGTACCTTGGTTGGTTTTTGTTTTGTTTTTTTTTTTTTGCTCTGCATTTCAAGTCAGGTAAAGATATTTTGAAGTCTTACAACAAAATATCAGACAAAAGATTATAGTTTGACCTTTTTTTCCTCTTTTTCCCTGCTGAAAAGTTGTGTGAGGTGGAAGCCCATGAGCAGAGTGGGATTTGGTACTGCTCACACGGGAGCAGAAACGCACTCCTCAGTCCTCTGAAACTGTCCTGGGTTGGGATTTACTTTTAGGAGGAAGAGAATGCTTCCAATCCCTTGTCTGACTTAAAGGTGGGGCTCAGACTGGAAGCTCCAACCTCTCAGACAAGGCCACTAAGAACCGCACTTCCCTGCTGCGGAAGCACCCTAGCAGCAGCGGCGGTCACCTGACAAGACAGGAAGCAGGTAACCCCTCTTGCGAGGGGAATGCCCAAACCACAGGGACGCGCTTTCATTTTCTCTCTGTCTGCATCTGCGCGCAGTGAAAAGCAGCACACAGGTAGGCAGGGTGATATGGGGTGGCTGCGGTTTGCCCTTGAGATGAAGGCGGCCGTGTCCGGCTGCCACACGGGGTTGCTGGGGCTGACATCTGCCCCCGCCGCCATTTTGCAAGTCCTCTCTGTTCGGCAGTTTCCCGCTAACCACATGGCTTCTAAGACGAGTCAGCCAAACGCAAAACCAAGGCCCTTCTCAAATTCAAAGAGATTCTTGTTTTCCTGGACAACTCAGAATTTGACTTCGTAAAGCAGAAGAATGTAAGATCTGTCATTACGTTTTTGAAACATACTGGAAAAGTAATGGGTAGAGCTGGGAGGCACTTGAGTGCTAGTCCAACCAGCGTGACTGTTAGCACACCATCTGAACAGCTCCTCTTCCAACCAAACGTAATTCCATGTGCTTTTCTTATTACACAGTCGACTAAAGCCTGTCCTGTAGTGTTAGATAAATTAACTAGATAAGGAATTCTGTTACTAACATGTAACAGCACAGTCTTGGAAAATAATGTAGATGACACTGCAGAACATGTGAAGCAACAATTTAATTTTAGAAAAGTATCATGGTTTTTATCTCTGTTATTGCTTTTACAGTGTTTAAGTTTTAAGGATGACCAGCATGCCTTCTGTCTCCCCCCACAGCTGGAATCTTTTCAAGAAACTCCATGATATGAAATAGATGCTTTACATTGCATTAAAACAAACGAAAAAAGGACAGAAATGGACTTTGTAACCTGGCCTCACACTTCAAAACTAGCAAGTCAGGCAGTTATCCAGCAACAACCTCATAATTTTAAACATTTTTCTTCTTAAAAAAGTTACCAAACAGCAGTGACCCAGCACTAGCCTAGGTTTTAAATATAAAAGAGATTTTTATCAGTGTAAATTTGAAAAACAAACCAGCTGCCACCACCTGGGTGTTAATTATATTGGTCAGAGTCCAGCAATGACCTCCTATGGTAATTCTGTGTTAATTCTGCAGTCCATAGCTTATGGCCCACCAAAACGCGACAGCGAGCAGAGCTGCAGGCACCAGCTTCTGGCAGACACACCTGAAAGGAAGCCGGCAAACCTGCAGGAGGAAAAGGGAGGCCATTAGGAACAACAGGGAGCAAAGTGCTGGTGCAGGAAAGCAAGGGCAAGGGGAGTGCTGAACTGAAAGCGTCGCCTCTTCCTCTGCAGGAACGAGCAGTGGGGTCAAGCCTCACCTGCCTTACCCAAAGTCTAAAAGGTCCTCATATCTTCTCCAAAACATAATACAACACAGATTATAACAGCCCTACCTATCTAATCCAGAATGTATCCTCACAGCTTTTTATAGCAGGGAGGCTCCTGTCTGCACGGAGCCCCAGTGATGTCAGTGACACTTTGGCACCTGTTTTGAGTGTTTGCAGGCATTTAGCTCACTCGATTTGTGAACAAGACATTTGGTAGGGGGTGTATCAGCAAATTAAGGAATAAACCCAAGCCCAGAGTAACCCAATAGGCTTTACTCCTTGGCATTTAGGAGTTTCTGAGCAGAAAGTGGGAGAAAAGGGAGAGTGCATACCCAGCTTCCATAGTCAGCAATCCTCTTTGTCCAGTTATTGTTCAAAAAGTTTCCAAAGCTTCTTGTAACACTTCTAATAATATTCCATGTCTGGAAAACACTGATAGCAACCCTGATGATTTAGAAAACACCACAAACAGAAAGAGAAAAAAAAAAAAAAACAAAACACGGAGACGATAGTAGCTTTATTCTAAAAATTAGCAAACAAAATGCCAAAGTGTAGAAAACTACAAAAAGAAGCCCAAAACATAAATGTTCCTTCTTGGAAGTCTAAAGAGTATCCTATACAATGTGTATTTCATAGAATCATTAAGGCTGGAAAAGATGCACAGCAGCTCAGGTCAAGGTGACCGAGGCTGAGTTAAGGATCACAGCTATGACTGGGCTTCATTCTCTTCAAGTCTGCAATAACCAACTCTTGTTTCAAACTGGGACATTACTATGTTAATTACTGTGCTTCTGCAGTTAATCTGCAGTTGATAACTATGCATGACAACCCTGCCAGCCCTCAGCAGATAAAAGGCAGAGCAAATGAGTTGAGCCATGTTTTATTGTATGTGCGATGATGGGTTGTTTGACATGCAGTAACACGTTAATCCCTGAAGCACTGCACTTGCTGGGCCTCTCCTCACTTTGCTGTGCTTAAAGATGCTGTCTAGCCAAGGAAAACTACGGTGCTATTGTGAAATGTTAAGCACCAAGAAACAGTTAACTCTCTGTAAATGGTTACAGTCTGTGGAAACAATTTACGTTATAAGATTCTTGTTTGTAAAATAAGATTCAGTATATGGTTTCTTTCTTAGATTCTGTATGAAACAGCAATGATGGCAATGTTTATGTTTGTTTGTTTAAACTCTGGATGCAGAAACATTATTACTTATCTATATGACATGATTTTTTGGAAGCATCCAGGGACAGATGGTGTCAGCAAGGTAACTCACCTGCGTGCC